CTTTATATTTAATGGTTCCGTTCATGTTTATATGATAAAATAACTAATATTCCAAAGAGACAGACAGTATTATTTATGATCATAAAGGATTGTCAGAGGTGTCTCCTTTTGACTATATCGCATTGATACACACTATCTTGGCCATTTGTAAGGGGCGCAGGGTATGAGAATGAAATTCGCTATAGTCATATTTAAAACCTTAACGCCTATTAATAACAATAGATGTCTGTCTGCTGCCGATTTGAGGCATAAAAATGGACAATTAATAAACTGTTGCGTAGCTCATCGGACAAGGTGACAAACGTTTAAACAATAGAAATTGATGAGATCCTGTAACGCATGCATTATATGGCAAATTAATTGTATTCGCCGCGCTGCCAAATTGTCAATCAAAGAGCAATAAATTTAGCAGCTGGGGGAGGCGAACACCAATAAATGAGGAGAACGTCGTACAGAAGAGAATATTGTTATTATAAATAACAGCAAACGGATGCAGAGAGAGAGAGAGAGAGAGAGAGAGAGAGGGAAAGAGTAAAAGGATGAGAACTGAGAGTGCAATGATTGCTACGAAAATATTCGCATTCCATCTATAATCTACTTTGGGAAAGTAGAAAAACAAAATGAAGGCTAGATACGTTAGGGCTAAGTAAGTAGCGCACATCAAGCAATTACAAAAAGAACAACAAAGTCACAACTAAAAGAGATACAACTACAGTTGCTTACACGCACACAGGCACACACACACACACACAGACACACACAGACACCAAATATATATGTGTGTATGTATAAAATGTTCAAATCATCAAACAATAAACTCAAAATGGACTCCGTCGCTTGTCGCACGTTTCGTTGCTCATTTTCATGTCGAGCGCGTTAAAAAGCTAGCTCCCCACCACTCACTCACTCGCCCGCTCGCTCTCTCTGTCTCTACTTCATTCTCTCTCTCGCTCTCTCACTCTGTGTGCTGGTGTTTTGTTCTTATGCGCAGTTTCCACGCAACGAAATGGAATCGAACGCAGGAAACCGCTTGGCATGGCCATTTTGATTGCAACCCTGCGCATAGCTCACTTACAGTTAGGGGCGTGGCCAGCCACTCGCCTCGCGTGCTCAAAGACTCACTCAATTTGAGCGTGTGTGGTGAAGATAATGAGCTGCTCTGAGCTCATTGCCTTGGGCCTGATTACATTTTGACCTTCTCTACTTTTTTGGGGAATGTTTTTGTTTCTTTTCTTGCGACGTGTTTGTTGCATTTTTAATAGGCTACCAGGGTAGCTCATTAACAGTCTAAGTTGATTGGGTCCACCTGAGATTTTTAATTAAAATTTTTTAGAAAAGAATCTGGGCTGGGCAATATTAGTTATTGTTAAGCATTTTCATTGGAATTCAACTAGATATCAAAATTATATTAGAGAATGCAAGCTTTTTGCCCTGCCAATAGCATCTATACAAATATTTCGATGGAAATAAGTAGAGTAGAACTCAAAGTAATAGACTAATCTGAACAAATGTTACTTATCCGGAAAAGCTAATTGCCAATAGGTTTAAAAGTATAAAAAAGGTGGTGAAACACTCTTCCACCAATTGAATTATTGAGGAATTAAATGCAAAAATAGCTACTTTGGAAACCTTTCTTTTTCATAGAATTATTCTTATTTTTTTTCTTTCGATTATCTGTCATCTTTCTAACCTTAATACAAGCATTGCTTATGAATGGAGCCGATGCTCATTAAAATGAGATCCGTACATTGTTTAGCCATAAACATAAACAATAATTCAATTTAATGTAAATAGCAAAAAAAAAAAGAAACAAGCGAAAGAACAAGCAAAAAACACGGCATAATCAATGTCGTCTGTCTGCAAAAAACAAAAAAAAAAGGATGACAATACCAAGAGAGAGCTCCACACACACATATACACACGCGCACACAGGCTCACACAGACCCACATGTATATGGACATCCCCAAAATAGACAGAAGCAACTTGCAATGCTCGTATATCAGCATTGGAATCCACCCAGCAAAACCTAACAACGAAAACAATTTGGTAAGTTTTCGAAAATTTGCTGCACAAGCGACGGCAATGGCGACTGTATTGGTGTGTGTGTGAGTGTGTGTGTGTGTTGTGTGAGTGAGTTGGAGAGAGTCTAATCCTGCGAGCGGGACAGCAATACATTTTGGGAAGTCCATGTACAAAGCTTAGAAATAGACAGACAATAAAAGCTTCATGAAGCGACATTGCCGCCATTTGGCATTGTGTGTGGGAGCGAGCAAGCGATAGACCATCCATGAAGTTTCTGTTGATTTTTATCATTTATCGATTTCGAATTTGTGTCGAGGGACAATTTAGTAGACCCCATACCCAGTGTGTCTGTCTGTGTGTGTGTGTGAGAGTATGCCTCTGTTTCAGCGCTCCCGGACATTCATGAGGTGTCAGTTGAATAGGCGGCCAGCGGGACATCAGGACTGCAGGACTGCGGGGCTGCGGCGCCTGCAGGCCAAACAATTTGATGGCCAACTCCACTGGCTGACTGGCTGTGTTTTTGGCATTGGCAGATTGGCATAGCTGGCCTGTCATTGTCAGCCCAAATGCCCCGACAGCGGAGTACATTTTTGGCCTGGCTGTGTAGACGACTAACCAGTATATTTGGCTATTTATGACTCGCATATTCTTCTTCTCGTCATTTTTCACGTTTTCCACAGGGGCCAAGGTATTGAAATGCCACTCGGTATTTATTGATCTCTGACTAACTTTTAAATGCAGCTTAGAAAGGGGCTTGTTAAAGAAGCAGAGAGTGGCAATAGAAAATATATCTTGGGTAGTTTTTCTTATAACTTATAAGATAATGATTGGATGTTAAAAAATGCTCGAAGAAAGCCTTAAACTGATGACAGTTCTATGCTCTTTGACAATCTGAAATTAAACATTCCTTTTCCAACTATTTCTCGAATGGGAAAATATGATTTAACAGCCTTTAAAGTGATTCCTCAATACTTCTGTTAAAAATTCACAGCCTCTTCTTTCGTAAAACACATATTTCGAGTATAAGTCTATCGGACTTTCTAGAAAACGATCCCAAACATCTTTAGTATTAAATATTTCGCATTGATCTTTCTAATGATCCGCTCTATATTTTATGCAATTCCAGTCGGTTCATTCATCTCTAAACTCAACAATAAAGCAATTAATCAATTTTATTGACGTACCCGACACAAACAAAGCGAACCCGAACCAAAGTGGAATTCGCAAACCCAAAGAGACCCTCAGCAGCTTGCAATTTTTCAGCAAGCGGATTAACAGGATCCCTAACTCAAATGATACACCAGGGACACGTACGGGCAGATCAGTTTGTTGTGTGATACTGAAATTCTATTAACCTCAGGCTCAATAAGCGGCTTAAGAGGATTTACCTGAAACCGAGCGATTGCAACCCGAACGGGGCACGTAGCTCATATATATGGTATATGGCATACAGCATGTTCCATATAACATTTACCATACGCCTGCGCAGCTGGAACGAAATGCCAAATTCAAAGGCAATTCACACTCGTTCGTCAATTGCTGGAAGTTGACTTTAGGCGCGTACTAAAACAAAAAGGAAATCACAATGTGCCGAGACCAGGTCCTGAAGCGGAAGTGTGCGGAAGTCTTTGCTGAAAGGAATCGCAACGATAAAACGTGCCTGTTGCCCTTTGCATGAGTTTGCAGATTGACTCCGAAATAGATGCCAACTGGGTCTGCGACTGAGGCCAAAGCCGGGGCCTGAGCATTTAATAATTGATGTTTGATCTGGAATTTCACAACGTAATACGGCGGCTGTTTACTTTGGAGCGTACGAGTCCGCTAATGGCTCGGCGAGGCAATTATCGGCGGTATGCTAATGGTATTTTGAATAGGTCATAGTCGGGCCTCTCTCCCGCTCACTCTATTGGGCCATTGTTTGCACAAAGCTGGAGAGCCTGAAAAACTTTAAGTATGATAAATGTAGCTCCATTAGGCATGGATTCATACATATAAGTAGTATATGCGCACAATAAGAGTTCGGTAGTGATTCCAACATTGCAACACAGTCATTAGCGGCGGATCCTAACAAGCCTACCCATGGACACTCGTAGGGTCTAACTTCAAGGTGTTGGCTCTACTTGTTGTTCTTTTCAAGATTCGTATTCTACTCACCCCAAATCTCTCACATATGCATTCGTCAAGTGCCCAAAGCTCAGGCATTTATTATTTGGTATGCCTCATTGTTCCATCAACCTGTTTCCATTTCATTCATGACTTGTCCAAGTTTTGATTGACAGTTAATCAATCTTTGGATTTTCGTTGATTCTTTTCACACATTTCCATTCATTTCGGTTCCGTTTTGTCTGCACCTTGTTGCCAGAACAAACTCTTTGAGCTAATCCTTTTGACTGCAGTCCGGAATATTTGACAGATTGCCGTCTGACTTACTGATTGACTCTGTGACTGTATAAGCAGATTTCCGGTGTGTGTAATTGTTATGAGCCCTAAGCCCTACATCAATTGTTTTTCTGCCTTGTGGGTGTTTCTGAGCTGATTTTCGGTGCGCATTATGGATTATTATTGTTGGCCACTCGTTGTGCGTAGGTTTTACTGTACATAACACTACTAACTCGTCTATTTGTTGGTATATATATATATATATATATATATATGATATATATATGTGTAAAGAAAAATGCATAAATATGATTTGCATAATTAATTTAGCTTATGGTTGGAATTTGTCTTTTCAACGACTCTTTGCTAATTTGATTAATTGACCAAAGCTCGGATTAAATTAAATATCATTTACTGTTCTGTAATTTAAAAGCTAGCAGGAACTTTATAAGACAGCTTTTATTTTAGATAAAATGCCACACAATCAAAATAATTAATTATTTGTATCATTTTATCATTTTATTCTTTATCAATTTGAAATAATTAAAATTAGAATTTAATTTAAATAAATTTTACATATTTTACTGCAGTATTTTTTTTATCATCATCAATATTGTATTCATGGGAAGTGGCTCGCACTCCGCATATTTATTCATATTTCAATTTAAACACAAGTCTCTTCGTATCCACGAAATTACATTTAAATTTAAAAGATGCTTCAGCTTTGTGGATTTTCTTGAAAAAAACTATCAAACTAAACATACAATATGTAATAAATTCAGTAACTTGTGTGACTTAAGACGACTTAGCATTTAGAGCCCGGTTATTAAATACAAAATACCTAAATTCTATATATCTATGTACTTTAAAAATAAACATAAATATTTACACACATACTATATATGAAACAAGAGGGCAAATCGAGGAAGAAATTAAGTTGCGTTGACTTAAAAGTGACGTCTTCAGAAGACTGTAAAGTGGCAAAACCTTTTTTTTAATATTTTCTTGTGGTTGTTGTTGTTGCTGTAGTTCTTGTTGTTTGACTAGCTAATAAAAAACTGAAATGCCCGACAAATGTTGAGCACCTTTCGCTTTGTTCGAGTTTATTAGCTGGCGCTATTGTTGTAATTGTTTTAATTTTCTTGCATATCCTTTGCCGTTTGGTAAATTCGTTTTAATGACGATAATTATCCTGGTGCTGTTGCTGTTGATGCTGGGAGCTGCTGCTGCTGCGACTCCTTTTGCTTTGGGCGGGTGCCTCGCCCATGTCCAGACTCTCGTTGTCGCTGTCCATGGTCTCGCTGCAGTCTCCATCGTTGTCGCCGCCCATGTCGTCCTGTTTCCGCTTGGCCGTTGCCATTTCCGCCGCATGACGTTTGCGCCATTTGGTGCGACGATTCTGAAACCAAACCTGTAAAATCCCAAATTGAAATGGAAAACTTTAGCAATGCGTGCGGCGGCGAGTGTGTGTGTGGGTGTAGCGAGTGTGTGAGTGTGTGGCAAGGCAATTTAAGTTTTAAATAAGCGCAACACAAGTTTCGTGTGTAATTAGACAGCAAGCAGTCCAGCAGAGCCCATGAGGCACACATTGTCAAAGTCATTAAGTCGAGGCCCGTCACCCATTTCCCGTCTCACAGCCCATAAGTCGCATCATCAACGCCGGTTAACCCTCAATTAAGACAATATTAAGCCCTGGACAGCGTTCGCATTGCCGTTGCCATTGCCATTGCCCAACAGCAGTTACACAAGGCAAAAACAGCAAAAACTATGCAAAACCATGACTAACATCTTTGGTTGCGCTTCATTTTCCATTTTGCAACCGCCTCATTGTTGAACGCCGGCCCCTGGCAACATATGTTGCATGCCCGCCCAGCCAGCCACCCGCTCGTGCTCGTTGCTCTCGGCCCCTGACCGAGGCACAGCCTGACGGGGATTATTCTGCATAGGCCTAGACACGTTTTTTCGTGGCATGTGCTGCTGCAAAATCGGGCATAATATCTACATTTGCTTGATGATGGAGCACTTTCACCAAATCAGGCCAGGCCTCAGCTCATCATGGCAAGCATGTTGTAGTTCAAGTCATAAACAGCGCTTTTAAGCCTCCATTTTAAGTACAATTAACCTATTTGATAGGCGCATATTGTTAACGTTTTCAATTCCTTCAGTTAGTTTGGTTTGGTGGAGTGTTCTCTTAAGATAAAACTGAGATTTTGCTCACTTAATCTCCAGTCCATATCAAAGATATTTCCATAAATACCAGCTAGACAGTTTATAAACTCAGCATTGATGATATTTTATGCAAAAACTGTTTTAATAAGCAATTAACTGTGCGGCATTTTAATGAAAATAATAACGTATACGTCCATGGCTGGCGAAAATCAACGCGTGAAACGACCCAAAGGTGCAATTAAACCAGATACAACATAATTTACAGCTTCATTTGCACATTTGTGTAATTATTATTTGCAACATTATGCGAAATAAAAATACAATTATTATTTTTTCGTGTGCTACATGCCGCAGCCTGCCAAAGAAAGCGACAGAGGCCAAGGAGACCGAAGACCGAAGACTGGAGGCTGGAGGCTGCTGACTGAAGTTTGGGGCGTCTTTTTTGCCCCAGCACAGACAGGCAACAACAACATTAGTTGGCATCATTAAGGCTGCTTTTCATGGTCATTATTTTTTGGTAACAGCTGTGCCCATGTTGTTTGGGATTTGCTCGGCCAAAACGGGAGCTTGTGCCTGCCTGGTCGGGGTAGGTCTTTCGGTCTTTTCGGCGTGGCAGCTTGGGCAGCAGCCCCTGCCGTTTGCGACATCATAACGATGGTGTATGCGTCATCTAGCACCCACTAAAGCATAGTTTCCAAGTGGAAGGCAACAGACTGTTGAATTGAAGACTTGTCACTGTGTTTGCACATGAGTTGCATGCTTAAAACCTTAAGAATCGCTCCAAGAATTACGATTTTTTATTAAAATTAAAAGGCAGAGAAAGTCTGACAATATTTTTATATGTCTGCATTATAAGTTACTCATGAAAAGTGCGACTCATAGAGGAAGGCGATTTTGAGGGTTAAGTTCAATATTTTTGAACAGATTGACTTGGCTGGAGCTCATCTCTGCTTTTCTTAATTACCTTCGTTCAAATATTAAGTTATTGTATGAAATCTCATTCTTCCTTGATAAACCTTTTGCATAGTTACTAGTTTTCCTATTCAAGTCACATTTATTTTATACCCTATTCAATCGGAAGACTATCATAGGGCTTCCATAGAGAACTAGAAAAAGATATGTGCCAGTAAGAAGAGTAAGCCATGTCGCAGCGTACAAGTACTTGTTACAATCAATTGTTATTATTATTATTTTTGCGTCATAAATATTGCCAAAGTCCCTTGATCTGGCTCCGACAGTTTTAGTTGAAATATGCGCATCGGTTTTATGGCCACACATGACGAGATCAAGATCGCCTTAGAAGCGAAGGAGCTATGGCAGTCGAGGAGACACACTAGGAAATTTATGACAGCCAGCATGTCAAAGTCAATCAAATATTGTGGCAATCAATTTGACGTGGCAGCGTTACGTTTCGATTGGTTGCACGGCATGGGCTTGGGGTTGGGGAGTGTGTGGCATTGGATGGGTTTGTGCACACGGATTTATTTATTGCGGCCAGGAGGCGACGCAGAGTTATAAAACATATGGCAATGTTTTGGTCAGTCGTCTGACGTTTTTGGCACCGCTGCGGGGCGTCCGTCAGGTGTCGGGTCCAGATAAGGATGAAAAGCGTTATGTAAATTTCATAGGAACGGATGTCAAAATCAAACCTTTTATTTTCGTGTGCCGGCATCCACTATTGTGCATTTGGTCTCGGCCTCGGCGATGGCAAATATATGACTCTGGCCAAATTGGAAATTTATTTGTTTACGCGCGTTCAGCTCGACGGTTCAGTTTGTATCGGATCGGGTCGCCCTGGGTACTTAAAAGTCATGGAAATTTACAGCATGGCTGCGCGCACACCTTTAAAACCCGTTGCCCGCCCCTGATCGACTGACAAGTTGCAGTTACGTTTGACCCGGGTTTCTTTTTTTTTTTGTTTTTGTTGTTCTCCTATTGGTTAACAAACATTCTGTTGTTGTAGTTCTGGCTTTTAAGAGTGGCTCGTAAATTTTAAGTTGAACTACAGGCTCAACCTTCCCTTTATATGGCGGTATTTATGTGAGTATATTTATTGATGTGAGTTTCTGATTTATTTGCGTTTTGTAGCCCATCAACGTAAAGTCACAGCGCACATAAAATCTGTTTCTATTTGACTAATTGTGAGTCGAAAAGTGTGGAGCAATGGCGCAGTCGCTGATAGCGCTTCAAATGGGCGACCTCTCCATCTCATCTTATTGGTAGTTCTCCATAGAATTTCTCTCCATTCATTAACACACAATCAAATCCATTAGCTGGCAACAATGGGCCAGCTGGTATTTCGGGTGTTCTATACGATTCCTAAAAATCAATTAGACAATATTTCACATATCTGTCATAAGTTTTATGATCAGCCTGTCCCATTGTCAACTTGTCGGCTTGTCACTTAGCTCACAGCACAGTTCCATGGCCTTTGCCCGATGCCATTGTCACTTTTGACAAGCGCTACGAATTGATTTGGTCTATAAGCTTTCAATATACATGTGCTAATTATGCGGTGAGTGCTCAATAAAATAACAGTCTGAAAACATTTTAGAGCCAATATAAGCTATAAACTAAAATTTAGTTTAGACATAGTTGTAATCTTGTTTATTTTTTCTATATGCATAGCTTAATTTGAGCTTGATTATTTAAAGAGGTTTCCCTTTAATTAATGCCATTTTATATTATATCTGTTATTTCTCTAAGTTGTTCCCAAAGTGAGTTTTTATAGTAAAGCTCTGGATAACTCCAACTTATCATAAAGGCGAATGACCCTAGATGTTCATTTCTAGTTGGAAAAACATGTTTATTCGTAATTTATTCAACTCTATATTCTTCAATTTCAGACTTCTTAGTTCTTGTATGCAAAGTATATTGAATTACCTAAGCAATAACATGCTCGGAGCACCCACATAAGCCACATGCCCAATCATTTCTCTATATCGCATGTGTTTACATGCATGCACTCGACAATCATTGGCAAAATCTCATACATTTATGCAAAAGCTAAATCACGAAAAAGCTATCACAACGAATCATGCAATAATATTATGGCTTGTACTAACTACACAAGTCCATAAAGACGCAAAGCTGGAATGTCATTAATAATGGCCGCAGACGCTATAATTCACAGAATGAGACAGCAGGAGTGAGAGAGAGAGAGAGAGAGGGAGAGGGAGAGAGTGAGAGCGAGATATAAGAACGTACAAAATGGCGACCATTTGCATTAAATGATTGCTAAAATGAAATGTCCCTCATACGGGAGTAGGTTGAGTCTCTGTGCTGTGTCCAAAAACGCTTTTAATTATGATAACAGCGCAATTATTCTTGTCAAGATCATTTGGCATACGCCGAGCTGCAGCCACGCCCACACTTGAACACCCACACACAGGCACACACACACACACACAGACACACAGACAGACAGACAGAAACTGCCTCTGACTGTTTTGCATTTTGTGTGTCTGTCATATTTTGGGGCTGTGTGCAGTGCTTGTTGTGTTTTTGTTTGTCAATTTGCATACTATCATCGTCATGGCTGTTTTTCATCTGGGTCTTCTGCAAGAGGAGCTCTATCCGGTCCGGCCGTGTGGGCAGACGGAACATGCACACACACGCACACTAATTGAATATGTATGAAGCTGATGTCGTCGTTGTTGCGTCCTTGCACAGAATTTAATTTACACTCACCCAAAAGTCATGCAGTCATTTGGCATGTCTATCAGACAGAGGCCAACCCAATCCTGCCCTGCACTCATCCATCCATCTCACTGACCATTTGTACTCGTCATCAGTCGCTTGCCTTTCCCTCTCTCTCCCTCTCTCGCTCTATCACTAACTGTGTCTTTCTCTGTCTTTCGTTGTCTCTGTATCTGTTTAGCCCCTGCAAAAATGACGCATATTTAGCTGCAGCTCAAGCCATCAATCCTGCGCCTCTCCTCCTGCTCCTGCTTCGTGCCCCACAGGCTGGGTCTACATAGAAATATTCTCGTTCCGTATGCCTCACAATGCCAACGGCCTCATTCATTGGTAATTAATCATTTTACTCATCATAAACGTGATTTCTTATCACTCGCCTATCTGCTAAGCCAAGGCCCTGATTTGTGCACAGTTTTTGGAGGCCGAGGGCAGGACTGACGGGGTTAACGGCGAGTTCTATTTGGACTTGAGCAAGGGGGTTGTAATAATTAGGGTCTACAAATTGACCGACAAATGGGAGCGTTCACTAATGAAACTGCAATCCTGAAATATGCATCTGAATATATGCTATATAGGATATAGAGAAAAGTTGTCTCTCTTCGAACTTAATCCCAATATGGAATTTGACTGACTTTTGCTTAAACTAAAAGATTGCCGTTTTTTACTTTCTTTTCTATTAGCTCATTCTTCTTACAAGAGTACTCAAGGTGATTCATAACTCATTAGTTTCTCTTAACTATGTCATCATTCATTTAAAAATCACATTTAGACCCATGATATCATAAGTTGCAACTGTCGCTTAGCTAAGCAGAACTCACCGCAAAACCAATTAACTACCCGGGCTTACGACTAATTTAAATGGCAAACCCAAAGAGATCCGAAAGCCGCGTCGCACACGCGACTTACTGGCAACGGCAATGACACGTGCGTTTCTGGTGAGGATTACAACAACGATGATGGCGTTGGAGATGGCGACGCCGCTCAACAAATTTGACGACACAAAGGATTTATTTGTTGATAACATTTCAGCCGCAGGGTGGGCGAAAAAACAACCTTCGGCGAAAACTTTAAAATAACGCGCACGGAAATGGTTTTTTTTTCCGGGCTGTCAGGGGAGGGACGGACATGTGAACTAAGCCTTTGGGGCATAGCCCAGTGGGACAGGAAGGGCTACTGATACCCCTGTGGCAGACCATTGGCGCCATTTTGTTTTCGGGCTTCGGCAAAAAATAAACCAAAAATCCATGAGCTTTGCGTTTCAATAAAAATGCAAATTGCTACAAACATCAAAGGCGGGGTGAAACTGGGCGGGGCTGGGCGGCGCGCTGCTGTACGGAAGGTTGTTCGTATCTTTTACCTTCGTGTTTTTTTTTTTGTGTTTTTCGAGAGAGATACCCGACGCCATTTTATGAGCTTTTAATTTGCATACACTCGCATGTTTTAAATAGTACACGAGGCTTACCTTAACCTGCGACTCGGACATTCCTAAGGCATATGCGAGCTTGGCACGCTCTGGTCCAGCCAGATATTTGGTTTGCTCGAATGTCTTCTCCAGCGCGAATATCTGCTGACCACTGAATGTTGGGCGGGTGTGTTTCTTTTTGCCATCCTTATCGCTCGATGGATGATGCTGATGGGATTGTGACAAATTGGCCGACACTGTAAACAAAAATTTGGAAATGTTTAAAAGATATAGCAGAAGATAATATAATGAATAATTTTTAATTTACTAAAGGATGTTTACGATGCTTTTAATGCATAAATAATCCAATTTTGTCTAAAATTATCTATCTATTAAGTAGCATTAAATTATATAAATGGACTATTAATATTATTAAATGGGCATCTATTGAAATATTCTTTCCGAAAAGGATAAATTGTTGAAATATTATTTGTATCAACTATTTTCCATAGCTCCAATATTGTTAAATATTTGCATATTGGCTGATATATTGCCTTCATATTATATCAAAATCCCTTAAATAAAAAGAAAACACGACAATTTACCTTTATGGTGCTTAATAACCTAAAGATAAATATTTCTCTCTGCAAACTTTTCAAATTTGTAAAATTTACGTTTAAGAGTCGTGTTTACAAGCTCCGAAAGTTGTCGCAGTTTAAATGATTTAATTATGAAACAATGCGCAATGCCATAAAATGTATCCAGATTATAATGTCGTTAAAATAAAGTTGGTTAAGTAAGGGGCCCGCGTCTGTTGTTGTTGTTATTGTTGTTGTCGTTGTGGCAAAGTTTTTTGACATTTATTAATTGTTTATGGTGCGCGTTTGGCGACAGCTGCGAATTGGAGAGGTGGTTGAGCTGAGAAAGCATCAGACGCTGTTGCGGGTTGTTGGGGTTGTTGTCGGCCTTATAGATTCGTGTCTTTTTAGAGCTATTCAACTGCGGCTAACACGCTGTAAACATAATTTTGAAATTGATTTCATCCAAAATTTGCAGTCACCGTTAATGCAAATAATATAAATTATTTTTGGCAATTTATTTTTGCATACCTTGGCTATGGTTTCCGCATAATAATTAGACACTAATTACAGTCGTGGCGGGGGTCACAAAAAAAATTAGCCAAGCACACGTTGCGACAATTAACAAACCCAAATTGACCACAGAATTTATGAGAACCACTAAACATTGGGTCCGTGGGGCCTCGGGCTTTCATTAAAATCAATTAGCCAAAACGACAACGACGATGACGACAAGAGGCCAATAAAAGCAGGGACCACGCCCCCCACTAGACGGGCGCTACGTGCAGCCCCCGCAGGGCTCGTAAAGGCAGTCAAGTGGACATGGGTCGGGTGGTGGTCATAAAATTAAACGGCAGCAGTTGACTCTCTACTTCTCTCTCTCACTCTCTCCCTCTCTCACTCTAACTCTCTGAGTGGGTGGTCTGCGTTGTGGTACGGCGTAGCCAGCAGCCCTTATGTCGTGCTGCTGTGTGTGTGTGCTTTCAATTAATGTCACCCCATTATTAAATGATCCCTAATTATGTGAAATGATTTGACTAAATATGCACAGGGCGCGCGCCTGGCGCTAGGTAAAAAGGTAATGCCACAATTGTACAGGAAAGCCTGTGGGTGGTGCTGCTGGTGTGGGTTGAGGGTTGAAAATAGCTGCTTTGCCAACAGGGTCTATCTTTGTGTGGTCTTAAATTTATTTCAAAAAACAAACGAGCTTGACTCTTTTTGCTCGTAACTAGTTCCCTGGAAGCTAGAGTCCCTTTATGATACTTTGGTGCATTTAGTGTAATATTATTAATTTAAATTATAACACTTAGAATGTGGAATGTGTGCGACATGCGATAAAGGCACACACACACTCACACCACTAGTGGAAAATATGTTTGAGATAACGTGGAAAGTTTAAATATTTAATATAATATGAAGTCTTTATTGGGAAAAGCGAAATGGTATAGACAAAGTTGATTCCCAAAACTTTATTATAGTATAATAATTTTAACGACTAAGAATTGAAAAATTTAAAATAAATAATGAAATAAAGTTTAATATGCACCCAGCTGAAACTTCTCTAATGATATTTGTAAAACTTTTTATTAAGTAAACCCATAAGAAAAGGGTGCAACATCAAAGTGTTCAAATAAGTTTATCAGGTTTATCCGTTTGACCATCTTTCTTTATATGAACGGTTCGTTGATGTCCCTCCTGATAAGAGTCCTTTCTATTCGTTTAAGTTTCTTGCTTATTCCAAACCAACTGTTGCCTAAAGGGTCCCTAAAATTCGTACTCAAATCTTATTTGCAGCTTTCGTTCATCAGCTGCAACTGCACAAATTGATTGCAATGTGCGAGGACATAAAACAAAAAGCCAAATAGAATCGCTTCAAAATATGTGCCATAAAATTTATTATATTTTTTCGCAGACCATTCGCAAGCTTAACAAGCCAGCAGCAGCAATGGCAACAAACATACCACTTGTCAATAGGGCGACTACGTGGAACATTTCCGGACTTGTTTTGGAGTGGGAGGGCTAAGGCGAGGCGTGGTGGGGCTTAGCAACAAGGCCAAGCCTGGATCGTAACTAGCTTATTCCCCAGCAAAGGAGAAAGAAGAACTATCGACGAAGACTAAATACCCTTGCGAAGTATTTCCATTATAATCCACATAACTGGGGTTTCATTAAAGTGATATAGCTCGATCCTGAGTCTGGGAGCATAGTTCATAATTCAACAGATGTCTTGGCAAGAAACTGATCGTTGCTATTATGAGCCATATGTTGTAGTTGTGAGTTCATAATATATGTACAGCAACATTATAGAATGGCTTTCAAATAGAGGGATCCAGTGGATACTGATCTCATGAGGGTCTGATATATCCTTCCTCTAAGCATTACACTTTGGTTGATAAAAAAATATGTAATACCCATAACAAGGGTATTATAATTGTGTCAGTGATAATAATTTTTATCGCGAACGTGTGCCTTCTCTCCCTCTCCATCTCCTCTCTCTGTCTCTTTTTATCCATCTATTGGGCCCGCAGCTGCGGCCCAAGAACCCTCATAAATAACCGACAAATATGAAGCGTTTATTTGCTCATGTCACGGCCCTTACGCAGTGCTGCAAAATGAAATGAATTGGCAGCAGGCTCACTTTCTAGAGCGACCCCTCGCCAGTTCCCCCCCACAAACAGCACCTTTTCCCAGCGACAGTTGTCTATAATCGCATAAGTCACCCTGTTGCCAGCGCTGCATTTGCACATTTCTCCTCTTTTTTTTCTTTTTTTCGGCTTTTGTTCTGTTTCAAATATTTTTTCGCCTACTTCTTTTTTATAGCGTTAATATTTTGGGTTTTGGATTTTCTTTTTATTCGGTATTGATATTAATATCGTGTGGCAAGGGGCGCGCAAGGTGGGCGTGTTATGTTTTGGCTTACTGTTGCCCTATTGAAAATATTAAAAAGTCATTTGTTACGGGCGTGTGGATCGAGGAAAGGTAGGCAGAGCGCTTGCCGAGTCGACAATAGCAACTGTTGATAGACAACACAGCGAGACAACAAAGCGTGGTTGATATTCGTTTTTTTTTTTACTAATCTGATAATTAGCATAGAAAAGTTACAGAAGACTTAGCCACGTTCTTCATAAATCATTACAATTATATTTAAACAACAATTTGTCCTACCTGGTCAAATTTGTGAAGGTAAGGTTACATAAAGATTCTAATGTATCTATCCTACAAAAATGTAACAGAAAAACCAGCTGAATTCTTGATTCAATTCATAAAAAACAGGGCTGCTCTCGAGAACGACAGACAAGAAGATGCTCAGTACCTCTTAATGTAAATATATATATATATTTGTAATATATATCTTACAGACAAGCATGCTTCTCGTGTAAAATATAAAGATTTCGGGTAAAGAAAAGAAAAGAATCAATATACACAGGGAATAAATAAAGACATTGTGAATTAAACAACAACAGCTACCCCGTTATCATATGCTCTTTCATTTTTATAACGTTCTATAACAATCTTGTAATATCCTTATGCCAATTACCCCCATAAGTTCAGCTCCCTCGCATGTCATCTAAAATAATCGTCTTTATAGTTAGCATCGCTCATTAAGTGTCCCTGATCTGTATGCTACCCTGTGGCTCCCGCTTTGGGTCTGGCTTCATTGCATTGTTTTATAGCCTGTTTTATGGCCGATTATATGCTTAAAGCACAAGTTCTTTGCGTAGCGATTAGGAGGACGACACCGACACACAAAATGCCACTTGAATTTTAATTAAACGCAACAGCTAGAAGAGGTAGAAGCGCAGCCCCTGACTGTCTATCTGGCTCTCTCTCCCCATATCTCTCTCTCTCTGGCAGCAGTAACTTTTTATTTGGGCCTCGTTGTTGCTGTCTTCATTAAGCTTAATGAATTGTGACAAATGCAGACAGCGGTTTTGGTTGGTTGACTCGTCGGTTGCTTGATTTTTGCTGCCTTTGGCTATATGGTTATCTGGTTAGGTCCGACAGCCATATAGCTGGCTGTATTTTTAGTTGCTGCTACCTTTTATGATACACTTTAACGCATGTTTTTTAGCCCATATTTACTTTTTGTACTCAAGTTAATTATTTTATTCGCAGCATGTGGCTTTACATAAGCGTCGACAGAGAGGCAAGAGCGCAAAAGAGACAGATTGCCGCACAAAGTAAACGTGTGAGAAATAACCGGACATATATTTAGTGCTAGTGTTATTATAATTGATAAAATCCAAAATCTGACTTAGAGATTGGTTATAATAGGCTTCAAACTCTATTTTAACTTCTTAATGGATATCATCAGCCATATAGCTATATATTTGACTATTTTATACATAAATATAGCTAAGTAGCTGATGATATAATATGTTTGAAGTACATTTTCAAAGAAAACAGATCTTCCACCTTTCACCGGGTAATGCTGATCATTAAAATATTTCTAAGATCTCCCAATCCTTTATATTTTTTTTTAAACTAACTCTTTTCCTTGAATTTCTCCTTAGCACACCATTTGCAAGGTATTTGCATCTGACAACCCTGCTCTAGCAGGAAATCGAAAGGAAACTTGCCTCGTTATTTGCGCACATGCCATGGATTCGCTTTAAAATAAGAAACTTCAGAAAAACATGTTTCACTTGCTTGTCGCTGGTTTTTCCTCATTGTTTTCACATGATTTTCCGGGCCAAAATATTGTCATATATTCCGCACATTTACATAAAAGGCAACACAAACACAACATGAAGAGCGTGAGTGTGTGTGTGTTTGTTATTTACATAAAAATTGTATATTTATTTATATATTATTTGTGTATACATATTTATGACTGAAAGATGCCCGCCGATGTCGACGAGTATGCGACAGCTGCTCAGCCAGACAAAACGAAGGGCGAAAAGAAAAACTTTTACCGGAAAAAGTGCCTGTTGTTGTGTGTGTGTTGCTCTATATAAATGTGGGGTATATATAGTATGTGGCGCGTATATGGAGTAGACGGTGGGTGGGGCATAAGATAAAGGCAGACGCAGACGCTGCGAGAATATGTTGCCACATTATTATCTAGACGAACCTACAACAACATGAGCAGGCCCGCTGAGGCTGCAGAGTGAGGGGTATGCCAAAATGGGGCAGCTGTGTGTGGATAAAAATGAGTGTGAGTGTGTGCGTGTGTGTTTATATGCTTGTAGGCTGTCATGTTAACAAGGCAGCAAAAGCTTTATGTGTACGTGTGTTGTGTATATGTGTTTGTGTGCGTGTGTTGTTTTATGGGAAAGCTGCGCAAACGACATCGCACAAAAAATGGCGGTCGTTGAGCTGCGTTCATTTAAATGTAGATCTGCGCATAGAAGTATGCTATACAATTGTTCAGCTACTTTGTTTTGATTTCTTCATTTTTCATTATTATTATTATTTGCTTTTCTTGTTGGTTAATGCACCTAATAGTTGCTCTTAGTTTTTTATGCATTCTTGTTTTTTGATATACTTTTAATTAGATTTTCGCCACAATCAATTAAATAGGTGCACCACAAGTTGTGTTTGCTCCGCCACGCTGCTTTTAATTATGACTAATAAATGCACATTTGCATTTATCGTTTTTATTTATATTAATATTTGCCATGCAATTCATTAAATGCAATTACATAACTGCGAGCCGCGTTGAGTTCAATGTGCTTTTATGGGCGCGGTATCACAATTGTTTAAACAGTCGCCCAGACAAGGGCGGAACTTCATATAAAATCATTAATAAGGTTGTTATCAGTATCATCTATCGCATTGCGAGTCAATTTACTCAGTTGGGGGCATTTATAATTGGAAAGGTTAGTTATCAGGGTTTATTAAATGAGTAAATGCAACTATCAGTAGCTGCGATATTAGAAAGTGGCAAAAAACTAGCTAGATATTATGAATAGGGAACAGGACTGCAGTCAGGTGCAAATAATTGCGCAATATTTTGTTCATAGTGCAATAACAGCATAATTTCTATGTATGGGACTGGAATCTCTAAAAGTGGAACTTTAGGTAAGTAAATATAAGACTGAAATCTTTCATTTTAGACTAGAATGGAGCTGGAGAATATAACGGGAAGATTTAAAATTGAACAAAGAAACAAAAATATAATTAATCGTGTTTTCTCCTTCCTACAATCCACCATTGTAACCCTTGATAATGTAAGTTGAACTCATTTAAAAGTTTGTTTCCTTCGGAATATATAAATATAGCTAACTATCTATAGAGAGTCCCAGCGCTTGCCAAATTCTTAAGTGTTAACTAACTCTGCAGATGCAGTAGTTAATCAATATTTTTTCTGTGCTCTTAAGTCGTTGTTTTGTGTTGTTTTTAAATAAGGTTACTGTGATTTATACACAGTCAGTAGAGTATCATTTTCCTAGCTAGCTCCACTTGCGTCACTCTTGAGACTAGCTCAGCAGTGTTTGGCAAATCAATTGAAATAATATTTACCTAATCGGAGGAGCTATGAAACATTCCACGATACACTTCAGAAATCGAGTCGAACACAAGACAAACACAACCTGCACGACAACATTTCTCTGGCGATCTCTGGTGATCTCGTTACTAATTCAATAAGAAAATTATGTTCGATTTCCGACTTAAAGCCCAGCCGCAAAATGTGCGCAGTCATTGGCGCAATTAAAAGGCAAACAGCAGCTGACTTCACTGACTCTTCACTCTTAACCACAACACTAAATCAAATCAAATCAATTGCCAATGCGAACGATCATTAACCACAGCAGCAGCAGCAACAGCAGCAGAAGCAGTGGCCACGGGGGACAGACGGGGCGGGGCGGGGCGTTTAAATAAATAAACAATGTGAAAACGAGTTCGAGTTGGAGCTGAAGTTGGAGTTGGGCGATTACTTAATGAGCTTAGGTGTGAAGTGTGGGGTGCGGAGAGGGGCGGCGGCTCAGTGCCTTATAAATAGATGTAATAATGAAGTAACCAGATCCAGATATCGTTACCCCGAAGTAGTCGAAAGATGCTCGAAAGCGTGCGAGTAAATTAATTTTTCATATGCTTTTCAGTTCGAGAAAAAAAGAGAAAAAGAATTCTTCTTTTATGTAGAGTCATTGTCAGCTCTATGGATCGATCGTCGGATGCGTCGCTTCGATCGCTGATCGTGTTAAAGTGATTCCCTTTATTTGTATTATTTTTCTTCTGCTTTTTCATTTTACTGCCAGCTCTTTTAATGAGTTGGACAATGCGCCATCGGCTGCACTAAGCACATTGGACTCGTCATATTGGTAATCACTTGAGTAGCGATCCATGATCATTAGGGGCAGCTGCCTCATTCGCTGCGCTTTGTTAACGGTATCAACAGGAAGTCGCGCTGCGCCTCAATGGAGACGGCTTGCGCCTCGAGGTGTGGCTCTCATTGTTGACAAATCATCGGGCCCCGGAGGCCGCAACAATTGTAACCAAATTACGTGCCACCGTGCCACTGAATGCACTGATTGTTCGGCAGCTCGACGCGATGCCGCGCATGGCATGTGAAGTGTTGTGAAGTGCTCTTTATTTGCAAATTAGTGCACACATTCATGTATCTGGCCTGGAAGCTTTATTCACTTACTTGTATTCGATAGACGCTCCCGCCACGCTATCGGATTGGCCACCAGACCCTGCAGTCCGGGCCAGTACAGATGCGTGCGATCCACGATGTGCCCGGCGTGCGTCTTCAATGGCGCTCCCTGGCTCTGCGATAGATATTGGGCCATGCCTGCCGCAGCAGCGGCTATGGAGAAACGTGGAATGCCAGCTGTGGTGGGAAAAAGATTGCATAAAGTTTAAATCTGATTCAAAATACATAGTTCAAATGCATGCAGTCATAAGCTGAAGATATTTTAAATCTAATCGATAGGTGATTCTTAGTAACCAGTTTCTCATATTATCTCATGATTATGTTTAGGAATGGTTAATCCAGATGAAATATAATACAGACAGTCACTTTAAAAGTAACAAACTTTGCATATAAATTGTATTGATAAGTTCTATTTCCGTCCATTGGATTCCGAATCGAGTCGTTTAGTTTCTTAAAAGCCTGGCTCCTTTAGAAAACTCATGTTTATACGTCAGTGAAGTCAGTTATATAATTCGAAGACCAAGGAATACACTACGATTCATAAATTTGTCTGATTTTGATAATTGCACAACACATATTATTTCAATTTATTTTTAATATTAATATTAAATGGTGTTTAGAATGAGTCCAAGACTTAAACACAATTCGCTATTTTCTTTCTTTTTGACAGCCGATATTCAGCTCATGTAAACCTTGAAATTTAAGCAATTTATAGAAGTTTCAAAGTTCCAAGGTTCATCATAAATAAAAATAAGTTTTCTTATTATTAATATTATAGTTCCTCACATCTGCCAACTCATTGTGCTTAGAACTTCGCCCATCTAAATGATTTGAACCAATTAGTTTGAAGCTATTAAATAATTTGTCATAAAGGAATTAAAAAAGTTTTTATAGTTTACAATTGAGCCAAGAAAAAAGAAGAAACAAGAAACAAAATCAAATCAACTCACATAAACGCCCTCGTTAAAATTAATTAAAAATTTGATGGTAAATTGTCAACGCCCTGTCGCATGCCCCGACCACAGACCCCTTCCTCTTGCCCCGCCCTGCACCATGCCCTTCCACTCTGCCTACACCTTTTATTCATTACGATCAAATGTTGACCCACTCCTTGCTGGTCTGGTCGGCTCTGTCATGCCGCACAATTGGGCAACATTTAACTGTCAAAAATTGAAATCGTTTTAGTGAAACGGCAAAGTCATATATGTTGTACACCTCCCGCCCACCGCACAGCCCGATTTTCGTGTGTCATTTTGATTTAATTACAAACAATTTGACAACTAATTGCTAAACGTTTAAGTATCGCATTACGCTTTGCGTCATTTTGCAATTTTGATATTATATGATTTTGGAAATTGTGCCCAATAAAATGCTCCCTACACTCTGCTTGGGGTAGGGCTGGGGAGGTGCTCTTCATTGTTGTTATATTTGTTGCTGTTGTAGTTTTTGTTGTTGTTGTCATTTTAATGTGGAATCATGTCAAACCGGATTCATGCACAAAACATTTGTTGCCGGGCAATTTTCAAACGAACCAGATTTAGGAACCAATTTTTGGGGCCGTGAATAATGTCTATTCAATACATTTACATTGCATAATGATGGGCAACTATACCACTTATCGGATTTTTAATGGGTAGCAAATGTCTTTGAGAATACAAAATATGGCTTCTGAAGAAACTTAATAAAATAAAACCTGCCATATCTCAGATTTTAAGAGTTCTAAAATAAAACAAAAATATATATAAAAATAAATTAATATAAGTATACAAAATGAAAAACTGCATTTTTGTATATTTGTATATATACGAACTATATATCGTAAGAGCTGAGCATTTTTCGTTCACCGACTATTCTACTCTCTATTTAATTATAGCTTCTTCTTTTAAGATATTTAGCGTAATTCTGGAACAACAAAGTTTAACAAAATAAGTCAAGAATTATATTAGAATATGTGGGGATATCTAGATATTCATATAGAGATAGGAAACATATTTAAATTCTAATAGGCTCATCAAGTCAGGATATTCTGCCTGCTAAGATCAGATTAAATTATTTTAATGCAGCATAATTAAGAGTCAAGAAAAGAACGTAGCACGTTTAACTTATATTACTGCTTTGAATATTAAATGAAATATGAATTCCTTTTTTATTATCTGGGATCTACGGCCTTTGATTATAATACCAGCTCTATTCCCCAAACTGGGATGTGAATCTGTTTTTTATATTATAGAAACCCTTCATCCCAACACACGTATATAATTTCAATATTTTCCTTATTGATTTCCACTCACCTCCCGTTAAAGCACTTAGACCCGCCGATGTTACCGGCGGCGGTTTGGAGAGTATCGTATCGATGCCATGCGGATTGGCAGCGCCTTGGGTATTTGTTGTCGTCGAGCTGCTTGAGCTGGAGCCCGTTACACGTTCACTGATCAAATGGGAGTTGGGACTGTGCCCATAGACCAGGCCATTGCCGGAGGCGCCGACTCCACTACCAGCTCCAGTGCCTACGCCTTGTGCAGTCTTCATTTCTGTGGTCATGGAATGCAGAGCCGCAAGTGGCGGACCCAGAAAACTCAATGGCAGCTTGTGCTCCATGTTGTTGTTGTTGTTGTTGTTAGGATGGTTGCCAATGTTGTTGTTGCTGTTGTGCAGGCTAAGCGGATTAAGGCCGCTGCTTTGATGCTGATACTTGCGACTGGTCAAGTTCTCTGGACTGTAGTCAGACGGCGGCGGACTGGACTCACTGTTCTGGCAATGGTCCTCGCCGCCGCTGCTGCGCTGGCTCAAAGCGAAGGATTTGGCGCTGTCGACGCCAGGACTGGAGTTGTGCTCGTAACGTGGCGAGGGCGACGATTCCGAGTGTAGGCGCGACGAGGCGGGCGGTGGCGTTGTCGATGGCGAATCCTCAGCAGATGATTTGGCCTCCAGCCGTGCCCCCACTGCGCCGCCGTGCGCCGCCTTCAGCAGCATCAGTGGGCTGTTAAGTCCATTGTTGTTGTTATTGTTGTTGTTGTTGCTGCTGGCATATGCCGCCGCTGCTGCCGCGGCACTGTGATAGTCCGCCAGCTGTTGCTGATAGTCCGCCGCGGCCATCGCATGTGCGTGGACATCGGCAAATCCATTGCTCAGACCCGCGGCAGCCGCTGCGGCCAAATGATGGCGCGCCGCCGACGGCGGACTGCTCTGTGAGGCAGCCGCAAAACTGTGATGGCGCATATAGGGATTGATGAGATCCATGTCCGGATCGGTGCTGGGCGAGTGTACGTAGTCGAGGGAGGCACACTCCGGTGCGTTGGCCGGACTAGGACCGGGTCCGTCTGTGGGCAGGCGATGATAGAAGCTGGGCGGCAGGGCGAGATTGAAGGCCGAGTTGGCCGACAGCTGAAATGTCTGGGCAAGCTGCTTGGCTGCCGATGGTGTGGGGGATGGGTTGTTGCTGCTGCAGCTGCCACCCGCGGGCGTAGTGTGCAGAAATGGACTACCCAGCTTGGGATATTCGTTAAAAACGCGTTGCACTCTGAAGAATAGCCGGACTAGCTATGCAAACTTATGCTTTCTTGGCAGTTATTTGTGGTCCTATGATCGCACAGGATTATAGACTAAAGCTCAATTTTCTGTTAAGACTTTGGCACTTGACAGCGTACAGAGGTTCAGTTGCAGATTCAACTCTTGCACTGGAAAACGCTTAGCACTCGAAAATTGAAGAACACGAAATCCGGAATTTGCCAACTTTTCGTGGTCATCTACGAAATTTGATTCGGGATTTAGCCGCGCGCGTGTCCGCTTGTTTAGGCCTAAGACTAACGAATGATTTCGAAATTGACTCGAGCGACTTCACTTCGCATGGCGACCCGCAGCGTGAAGCAATCTCAGCAGCAGACGCAATCGCCTGTGCAACCCTGTGCCGGTCCGCTGGCTGCTCTTTTCCACTCATTCAGACGCAGCATCAAACGCGAGAGGGAGAGAGAGAAGGCGAGAGCCTAGTATGATCTGTTTCATTCTCTCTTTAAGTTAATCAGTTGGCGTGTGTGTGTTTGTGCGTTCCACAATCAGTGTAAACATGCTATGGAGCTGGAACGCATTGGCATTGGCACAAAACGAATGGGAATTTTATTATGTACATCATTAAAATCAACTATTTCGGATTGGATTGGAGCTGGAACTGGACTGGTTGCGTTTCAGAGCACTGAGAGTGTTTTGTACATGCAAGAGAGTTATCTCTGTGTTTGTGTGATGATGTCTCTGTGTGTGTGTGTGGTTGAGTGCATTTGCAATGTTGTTATTGTTGCTGGTGGGTGGAATCTGGTTGAGGCGCGGCCCGACTGTGAATGCTGTTTATTTGTTTAAAAAGCTATAAATATTAAGTGAAGCTGTAGCTGGCAGGGATTGAAAAAAGGTTTTTTTCATTTCTGGGCTTATTCATTTAAATAATTACAATTTGTGCATTGGCATAATTAAAAGTAATTAATGTGAATCGAATGTGGAAAACGGAACAACAAATAAATCTAATTGCTGAAAATGATGCTTTTAAATTCAATTGAATAAAAACTTACAATCTTACGTCATAAACAATAAACTAAGAGCTATTAAACGAATAAAATATACTTTTCAATATAAATAAATATACTTTAACTTTTTAATGCTCGCACAAAACTTATCTTGAACTTTAATCAGGAAATCAAGTTTTATTGAGTATATAAACGAATTTATTTAGTATGTATTTAAAGAATTTTAGATTTCCCATTTTATATTTTATTATATTTTTTATACGGTAATCCTCGGCCGAACGTTATTTAAAATTAATTGTCTGCTCGTTCTTTATCGGCACTCAAATGCAAACAAATAAAAATAACGCTAATTAACATTTCAATATTATTATGTGACTGTGCCACGAACGACAAACGATTTACAATTCCCATATGCATATGTACATACACATAAATATTTATGTATATGTATATACAAATACACGTACACTACGAATAGCAAAGACACACATACAAATACAAAAATGCGCTTCATTTAATAATAAACTACACAATTTTAATTTACTCACACACAAAGGCGCAACAACAACACAATCAACTGAAACGCAATGGAAACGAAACAGCGGCACATAGGCCACACCCACCACAGGCACTGCACAGCTTCAGCTCATCAGCGAGAGAGAGAGAGAGAGAGAGAGGCGCTGCAGCCGCCATTGTTTGTCGCGCTTTTATGTGTGTGTGAGCAGTGAGAGCAAAGTATTCGTTGCGCTCAAAATGTAACTCAAACTCAATTTGGTAAAGCAGCCAAATTGTGAGTAGCAGCAAACGTTTCTCACCACAGCTGTTGCTGTTGCTTTCGACACTGTTATTCTCTAGTTAATAGAGTTTATTATTCATACACATACATAAGTATGTGTGTATGCATGTGTGTAACATACAATCCACTAAACGCCAAGGCCCTCGTTTATTTGCCCAGCATCTTTAACTAAGATCTTTACAATACAATATAAATTTATGCATACAACAATGTCAAGTCAGATTATCGCACTTAACAGATCTCGAACACAAAACAGGGAAAACTGGAAAACTTTTTTCTTTTCTAATATAACATACGCTCATAAATGCCCACAACTACCAGCAGGCATATAAAAAAATCTAACAAACTACTAAAAAGTTGAAATAGATAACGAAACATAGCAGTTACGATTCGGCCTCTGAATAAACCCAAACAGTGATTGATTTATTGTTTTATTGCGCAAAAAAACAACACAACACAAAAAATGCCAGAAAATCACAAGAAATGACAACGGCGATAAGCAGAGAATATTTTTTAGAATGTCTTCCATGTGGCAGTGCGGGAGCATTTCGAATAAAAAGTAAATGGTCCAAAGTTGAATCAACTCAGACACAAAAAAAAGGCGGGTAATTAATAAATAATTTGTGAGCCTCTTTTTTCACATGTTGGCACTAAAATCAACCCAAAGGTAAATAGCCATGGCTAATGCGAACGGCCAGATTCTGTACCTGGCTAGGTTAGATTTGCCACATAGTTCATTAAACTGTGCACTGACAGTGGGACACAATGCAGCAGAGAGATTTCTGGCAGCTGTGAGGGGCGAGTGGGACGAGCTCTCTGCTGGTATTTATGATGCTTTTATTTGGATGGTAATACACCAATACTCATTGTGAAAAAGCTGGTCAGAACAACGAACAGCAGTTATTTTAATAGGTCTAGCGGAGTCGTTGTCTAAAGCCGAAAATAGGGTACTTTTAGTTAGAAACCTCATTAAGCATTAATCATTGAGATACAACTTCATTCAGCAAAGTGAAATGTCCTCTAGTTGAAAGTGCTCGACCTGGGAAAGAATGTAGTTTATATAAATAAACGCCTCAAGCTTTCCTCAGCACCACACTATGCAACATTATATTGAGAATAACTCTTTAATTCTATTTGTCAACCACATATGTATGTCTCTAAATATCATGAAAGGGAGAAATAAATGATTTTTATATTTGTGTTATCAATTAATTGAAATAAACTTGATCTATCCTTTTATTAAAGCTCGAAGTCTTCTCTGAATCTTTTTGGCTATCCAGAAAGTGAAATATTCTTAATATTATTAAACCTAAATACCAGATTCGACTGAACGATAAATAAACTTGATATATACTCAAACTTAAAGTCTTCTTTGAATCTTTTCAAGCATACATATGTATGTTTTCACACACAGCCACACTTTAGTTTAATCATAAAGAATGCAAACAATTCAAAAAGAAAAACCCTATTCAACTGTTTTGAATAAAACCAATACTCAGCCAATAATCCTTTCAAAATTTGAATTTCCTGTTGCCAGTTAGAGAACAGCTGTGGCCATCGACTCGACCTTTCAAGCGTTGACCAATCGCCGAACAAACCCCACAAATTTCACACCTAGTGCAAAACTGCGTTGCTTCTTAGTGTTATTATTATTATTATTATTATTGTGGTGTATTATTATAATGCGATTTCACGAAATTGGGGCAGCCGCAGCAAACACAAGCACACAGGTTGGGTCACATGTGTGCAGCCCTCTGACGTTCTACAATATTTGAATGGTCAGCACAAAATATGAAACCAAATCTCAACATTTGGCATGCAATTTGCATTTTTGTTAGTAAGTTTTGTATTTTTTTTTCTTTGAGAGGTTATTACTCAAAGTTAAGTCGTTCGGGGTTACAGGGATTTGATGTATGTCAAAGTTACGTGCGCGTTAAAATCTTGTCTAATTTAATATCTATAAATCCCTGCTCTGACAGGGCTACCCCTTTATGGGCCGAAAGGGTTGTTCGGCTGTTGAGCCTAACCTTATCAACGTGGCAAATTGATTTCGGCTCGTTATGCGGTCATTGGGGTATATTTTGTTGGTTTAGCATGGTCAAAAGAAAGCAAATTGTAAAACCGAAATTGGCCAAACGTGCGTTACAAATTAATGTTTGTTCGGGATTTGTTTCTCCCCACAAAAAAAAAATAAAAAAAAAAATATATATATATATAAATAAATATAAAAATTGTTTATCGTTTTCCGTTTTTTACTCTTTGTCAAACAGGTCATAAAACCCTTTTATACTTCAACAGACCCTGCGCCTGATGCCGAGTTATGTGGTGTAAATGCATTGGGGTCGCTTTGAAGGTGAATTGGAGGACGGGACGGTTATGTTATTGATAAACAATCAATATGGTATTAGTTGGGCTTGTCATGATATCAATATTGGCTATTGATATTGATATGCTTGGCTTATCTAGGGTATCCAAGTTTGAATGGGGAAATATTGCAATTCGAGAGCTTATAACAAATAGATATTTATGGATAATGCGGCAAAATTAAATTAAAAGATGTTTTATCCCATGGTCAAATAACTGCAATTAGCTAATAAATAAAAAAGTTTTCTAGGCAACATTAAGTCAACCTTTTTGTATTAATTATGTTTAAAGAATATTTTTACGAAAATATTACCTTAAAAATCTACTTTTGTATATACTTGTTCAGCATATAAGATATCTATGTGATTTTTATATTATCATGACGTAATTTTCTTCGAAACAATTGCGTTTCTCTTTGCACTTCGAATCATATTTTTATTGCATACTTTTGTGCGCGTTCACGTTAGATCGGAAAATGTCGTTTCTGATTGCTTTCGTATTTGTTTACATTTCCTGTTCCTATTGACAGCGAGTAAAGTGGGAATAACAATGCGTTGACGAAGCAGCCCGGACAAAACCAGGAGCAGCAGAAGGAGCAGGAGCAGGATATAGG